TATTCCTTCCAATGTATTCTTTATTTCTGCTATGTCATTCTTCATTTCCTTCAGTTTCCACATCTTTTTTCATGCTGCTGAGCATCCTTACAATCAGTATTCTGAACTCTTATCTGATAGATTGCTTATCTCCATTTCTTTTAGCTCTCTTTTGGAGACTGCTATTGTTCTTTCATTTGAGGATTGTTTTTTTGTCTCCCCATTTTTGCTAACTATTTGGGTTTGTTTCTATGTATTAGGTAGGCCTGCTGGGGCTCTCTGTCTTTTTGGAGGGTCTCTGGTGCAGGGCTGTGTCAGATGCAGTTTGTGACTGGCCTTGATTACCCTGTTTGAAGCTATCAACATCCCGTGGTTGAGGTTCCCTCTTGTGTGGTTTGGTTTGTTTGGCCAGGAACAAGAAGTACACAAAAGTCTCCTTTTCCAAGGCCCAGGTCCAGAAGCAGATCCGGCAAGGACTCAGAGCACTTTGAAGTCTACCTCTGCCTGCAGGCTGATTAATCTGATTCTTTTCCTGAGCCTCAGGTTGTAGAAACTCCACAGGGTAGGGACAAATGGTTTTCCAGCAGGGTAGGGCAATTGCTTCCCCCTCAGGCAAAAGCTGCTTGATTGGTAAATGTCTCCCTCTACAGTATTGGGGAATGATTCAGCACAGGAATCCAGAGGGGTGCCCTCCAGAGCCCACAGCCCTAGATTCTCCTCACACAGCTCCATTCCCCTCTGTCCTCCCTCTGCTGGAGCCCAAGGTCAGTGGCTGCACACAAAACTTTGTGCATTGGCTGTTTAAGAGGGTGCCTGCTTTTCCAGCCATCTCTCCCTGGAGACAGAAACCCGGCAGCTTTTCACAGCCAGATGTTATGTGGGTACCTTTCTCAATTCTGGTGCTCTTGGCTGGGAAGCCCAGCCTGGGGTTTATGCCCCAGAGTTCTCACTGGGAATTCTCCTGAGCTGAAATATTCCTCGAGACCTTCAGCTGCTACTGTGGGAGTCCACAGCCCTTTTGTGCCTCTGGAGTTCCTACCAGCCTCTTTGTTCTCTCCACCTTTCCTCCTTGGTTATGAGAGTGCTCTCCAAGTGGTCTTTAGTTGAAGTTGATTATTCTGGATGGTTTTGCTATATTTTAGTTGTAATTCCAGTTTGGCCCTGGGAGAGTGTCAGTGTACCTTCCACTCGGTCCACTGCCATCTTTAACCTCCTCCCCATGTCTTTTGATTAGAGCATTTAATTCATGTATATGTAAAGTAATTATTGATAGTTATGTAGTTATTGCCATTTTATTATTGATATCTTTTTTCTTTTTTCCTTCTTGAAGTCCCTTTAATATTTCTTGTAGTACTGGCTTGGCGGTGAGGAACTTCTCTAGCTTTTTCTTTTTTGGGAAGTTCTTTATGTCAGCTTTGATTCTAAATGACAATTTTTCTGGGTAGAGTTATCTTGGTTGTAGGTCCTTGCTTTTTATCACTTTGAATATTTTGTGCCAGTCCCTTCTGGACTGCAATGTTCCTGTTGAAAAACCAGTTGACAGTCTTTTGGAAGCTCCCTTGTAGGTAACTGTCTTTGTGTTGCTGCTTTTAAAATTCTCTCTTTGTCTTTAACTGTTGGTGTTTAATTATGATATTTCTTGCTGTGGGCCTTTGTGGGTTCATCTTGTTTGGGACTCTGCACTTCCTGTACTTGTATGTCTTATTTCCTTCACCAAGTTAGGGAAGTTTTCAGTCATCATATCTTCGATTAGGTTTCCAATTCTTTGCTCTCTCTTTATTTTGGTTCACCTGTGATGTGAATGTTGTCGTGCTTGATGTTGTCCCAGAGGTCTCTTAAACTATTGTCCTTTTTTTTGGTCTTTTTTTCTTTTTGTTGTTCTGATTGGATGTTTTCTTTTACCTGTCTTACACATCCCTAATTCTGTTTTCTGGTTCATCTAGTCTACTGTTGAAACCCTCTAATGCATTCTTCATGTCAGTTACTGTATTCTTCATTTCTGATGGTTCTTTTTTATGATTTCTGTCTCTCTGTGTAAGTTCTCACTCAGTTCATCTATTCTTCCCCTAAGTTTATTGAGCATTCTTATAGCCATTGTTTTGAACTCTGTATGTGGGAGATTGCTTGTTTCCATTTTATTTAGTTTTCTGGAGCTTTATAATGTCTTTCTTTTGTGAAAAAAATTGTCTTCATTTTGGCTGTCTGTATGTATATCTCTCCTTCTTATTAGTTAGATTTTGCTGTGTCTCCTGGACTTGACAGTGTGACCTTTTATGCAGAAGGTGTCCTATGGGGTCTAGTGGTGCAGTTTCCCTGGTGACGGTACCTGGGGCCCCAGGAGTGTCTCCTGTGTGTGTTATGTGTTCCCACTTGTTGTAGCTGGGGTTCAATTGCTGTTGGCCTGTCAGTTGGCGGGGTTGACCCTCAGGTTGACTGGCTGTGAGGGTGGCTGTGACTATAGCAGGCATGCTGTTATGTCTTGACTGACCCCTTGGAGCAGGAGTTGCTTTAATTGGGTACTGGTGCCCACTGAGTCTGGCCTTCGGGTTTGTCATTTGTGGAGCTGCTAGAGTGATGCTGTGGTGTGTTCTGATACTGGTCACTGGGTATTATGGGTCTCGAGCCTCCTGGGAAGGGCTCCGGTGCAGGCTAAGGTCAGTTGCCTCTTGTTTCATGCTTGGGGGCCTCCAGGTAGAAGCTTCAAAGTGATCTTCAGTTGGTTGCCACTGGAGCTGGCTTTGGACATGCGTGGGAGAGGCTACACTCTCTGGTGAGGCTGGATGCTACTAGTTCCTGTCATAGGACCCTTTGGTGGGCACCATAGTGCAAGTTGAGACCAGACACCACCTTTGCCAGGTTTGTGGCTGCTTAGTTAAAGCTGTGTTCCAGGCCAACACTGGCTGCTGCTTATGCCAGGCTTGGGGCCGCATATCAAGAGCCACAAGCTACACTGAGGTCAACTGCTTGTTTGGGGATCTTTTGAGACATTTTGAGAAAGTTCATAGGAATAACCAAGGTAGGGTGCTTTTCTGGAGGAGCCACTGGAAGAGGCTTGTATTGGGCAAGTGAGTTGGGAGGGACAGGGTCTCAGGGAATGGTGTTAGCCAGGTTAAAGGAGAGCCCAGATTTGGCTCTCACCTGTGCCTGGCTGGCTAGGTTTAGGGAGGAGTTCAATAAAGGAACAGTGGCAGCTCAGAGTTGCCCCGACCTCTCCCCCTCCAGCCCTCTTCCTGAAGTTAGTCAATTTATTTCCTCCCTCTGTGTTGCTGGTTGTTTTTGAGCTGCTGCCCCTGCACTGGAGCTTAGAGCGACTGAGTTCGTGAGCACGTGAGTCTGTGCAGGCCACCTAAGAGGTTCGCCTCAGTTTCTAGTAGACCCTTGTCCTTCTCAAATGCAGTCCCCACTGGTTTCCACAGCCAGGTGTTATACAGACTTCGTCTTTCAGATACTGGTGCCTCGGTCTGGGGAGCCTAGTATGAGGCTGGGTCCACTTCCTCCTCAAGGGGACCTGCACAGCCAAAATATCTCTCCTGCTCCTTAATCACCATATCATGGATATGGGGCCTTCCTATTTCACTTCTTCGCCCCCCCCCACCAGTATGGATGTGGGTTCTTTTATATCCTTAGTTTTAGGATTTGTGTGCAGCTAGTCTTTAGGTGGTTCTCAGTAAATGGTTGTACTATAATTTAGTTACAGTTTTAGTGTGGTCATGGGAGAAGGTGAGCACAGAGTTTAGCTGCTCTTCTTTCAAACTAATCCTAAATCTGTCTCCTTGACAATAAGGAGGTCAAAAGTAAAACTATTCACATCCTTGACATTTGATGAATGGTTAAGCCTTCGTTTAATATTCATAAATATTTCATACTCATTTGATGTTCATAAATATTTGTAAAACATTAGCGTGTAAATAGAATAGAATGTTCTATAGCTTTTACAGTTGCAAATACACTGTGTTCTTTTTTTAAAAAAATAATTTTTATTGAGTATCTACCATGTACCAGGTGCTATTATAGGCTTTGGAGATACAGTGATGAGTCCCAATAGTCAGGATCCTGCTCTCAGGGGTTAAATTCTAGTGGTAGGATATAGATATGAGCAAATAAATAGGAAAATGTTAGAGAATGAAATATTTACAGGAACTAATAAAAACCACACAAAAGTATGTTCGTATGTATACCCACACTAATAATAATGCACTGATCAAAATATCAAGGGGAGATTTTTGACGTTGAAAATAAAAGTGGGAATGTAAAGTTGTTTAATTGTACTGTTTAAAAGTATCAAAAGTTTGAGGAGAAATCTTAGAATTCAAGATTTGACATTCTGCAGAGAAGTATAAGCCAGTTTGACTTGATTCGCTTTGGAAAAAGAAAAGATTTAATGTTACTTTCAATGTTTACCTAAATATGGACTTACTTTCAAGTTATTGCCACAATTCTGGCATGAAAATTGATATTTAGAGTCACATGGAAAGGGATTCTTACACATTTAATACAGGCATACCTCGTTTTATTGCACTATGCTTTACTGCACTTCACAGGTTTTATGTTTTTTACAAATTGAAGGCAAGATCCCTCCACCAGCAAAAAGATTACGACTTGCTTTATTGTGGTGGTCTGGAACCAAACCCTCAATATCTCTAAGGTATGCCTATATTTGTGTAATAGTTTTTGCAGGTAGTGTTTTTTTTCTTCTGGTCGGTTTTTTTTTTTTCTTTTCTTTTTTAAGTGTCACTCAGCCTGTCCTTTCTAATCCCTGCAGCTGCTTGGCTTCTGCAGGTTATGTTTTAAGGGAGAAAACAAGACATGCATTTTAAGCTGTAAACTTGCAAATGAGGAAGCCACCAAATTGTCTAAAATGAAAACTTAAATTAACATCATTTTTACCATTAGGGAAAACTGAACGAAGGGTATGGGACCTCTCTGTCCTATTTTGGCAACTTCATGTGACTCTGTATTTCAAAATAAGAAGTTTTGAAAAGTAAAAGATAATTTAAAAATGGGTTTTTCATCTTTTCTAGTTTGTGGAGGACTATGAGCCTACCAAAGCAGACAGCTATCGGAAAAAAGTAGTGCTGGATGGGGAGGAAGTGCAGATCGATATCTTGGATACAGCTGGGCAGGAGGACTACGCTGCAATTAGAGACAACTACTTCCGGAGTGGGGAAGGTTTCCTCTGTGTGTTCTCTATTACAGAAATGGAATCCTTTGCAGCCACAGCTGATTTCAGGTATGTCAGGAAATAATGTTGTTGCTCTGACTTATTGCATAACAGTTTCTTCCCCAGAAACAAGTGGATAACTAGAAGTTCTTACTTGGTAGTCTTTCACTCTGTGCTTAATTGTGTTTATTCCCTTTGATATCAGTATGTGGATCTATCCTCTTTTACTCACGAGCTTGAGTTTGTGACAGCCTCGCTACCCAAAGTCTCTTTATGCATTATAATAGTGGTTTTTTTTGGAGTATACTACTACTACTGCCATAATAGTTGACACTTGGATCACATAATGGAGCCCTCACCCAGGTTTTAAATCTTTCTTCATTAGTCACTGTTTTCTCAGCACCTGTGTAACGCTCAGCAGGCACATTGCCATCCTCCTCACAATGTAGATGTCCTTGACAGCATGAAATGAATTTTTTAAGAGAAATAATAATACCATAGCCCTGGCTGGTATTGCTAAGTGGTTAGAGCACCAGCCTGCACAGTGAAGAGTTGTAGGTTTGGTATCCTGGTCAAGGGCATGTACCTGGGTTCAAGTGTGCTCCCCACCCCCAGTCAGGGTGCATGCAGGAGGCAACCAGCTGATGCATCTCTCATACTTTCTGTCTCTTTGTGCCCCTCCCTCCCTTCCACTCTCTCTGAAAAGCAATGGGGGGAAAATATCCTCTGGTGAGGATTAATAGCAACAACACAAAGAGAGAATACCATAGATTGGCACACTAGGTTGATTTGTACAATAACTTTTCTACCTTATTGACCACTGGCTTAATCAAAGTCTGGCATCCATTTGGTTTGATGGAGGGTGGGAAGTAAAGGGGAGAGGGGTTCTCTTTATACCTAAGAGAAATGTGGCATAAATAAGTTCCTGAGTAATCTCGTAAGTACTACATGCATAATCAAAAGTATTCTTTATATGTTTTATTTCTGCATTAAGCACCTGCTTTGGTATAGGGGACACAAAAGAAGCATGAAATTTTTGTTTCCTGTTTCCAAGATTCACACAGCTTAGTTGAATAAGGCATGAAACCTAGAGCAAGTCAATGACAAGTAGGAGACATAAACAGTGATCATTACAGGGGATCCAGAAGAGGCCTTCATGAAATAGATGAGCCTGAAGGATAAGGATTTCCAGAAATGAGGAAAGAAGTCATTTCAGGTGGCTGAGCAAAAAACTGAACCTGGGCTCCTACGAAGTATTCCTTTTTGTGTACACTTGAAAGTCTCAAGAATTTAAAGGATTCTATGAGAATATTCTTTACAAAAGCATATCTTTAAGAACCTTTTAAAATACAGGTTTTTTTGTAAAATTAAGTGTGTTGGTTCCCATGAGGAAGCAGTTTTGTATATAATAAGTTGCAAAGAGTGGCAGATTCTGGTAGCTTGTAATGCTAGGAGACAAGTTGAAAATTATATAAATGTCAGTGCTTATTCATTCATGAAATATCTGAGTGTGTATTATGTCGTAGCAGGTCCTATTCTAGTTAATGGAATAAATTTTATCACCACAGTCACCAAAGTCAGAGTGGTATTTCAAGGAAATAAGGTATTTCTATGCCAAGAGAAAGACTCTTGGGCTATTGCTATTACAGTGAATCACATTACTCTTCTGTTGTACCTCCTATAAATAACAATTTCTTAATGACTGACCAGTGATTATTGGAAGGGGATTTTGAGACTGTCAGCAGTTCACATAGTCAAACTGCAAAGTACACCACAAATGTCAGCTCCTCTTATTAGCCTTTCTGGTCCTCCCCTACCAAGGTGGAATCCATTGTTTCTTCATCTCTGTATGGGATGCACTTCCTCAGCTCTAGCAGCACACTCTTATACTGAGCTTGATTTATAGGTAAAAATTCTTGAGAGCAGAATCCATTTCTTATCCATGTCAGTGTTTCTAGTACCCATATTTGGCAGAGTTGCTAGCATATAACATATGCTTAGTAAACAATTGATAGAAATGTTAGAAGACTCTTACTTTGATTCTCATTTTCTGTTGTCAAAAATGAAGAAGCTGGACCAGTTTGTAAAGGTATTTTCTTATTCTAAAATTCTGTAATAGCCTCTTTAACTCTATTTAAAGAGAGTGTCACAGTAAGCAAATGTGTATGTGTGTTCTAGACATAGCATTACCTTTCTCTGATATCCAGGAAAGTAGCTAATAAAACCAACTGATTTAAAGAATATTGTCTTCTCACCTCTAAATCCAATAGGTCCAAGTTTTCCATGGCCATGTTTCTGATAGCATTAATCACACCGTAATTTCAATAATGGGTCTTCCTGAAGTACCTGACTCATAGTAGCTTAGTAGGTATTTATTAAGAAACAAATTAATGATTATGTATAAATGACTAGAAGTGCTAGAGTCACAAACTAGAGTTACTCTTAAATTCCTGGTGGTTAGTGAGACTGAGTGGTAAGTTGTTAGTATTAACATCTTAGTTTAAGCTGGTGGTCACAAAGGAAACTGAGTAAGGAAGCAACAGCAAATTTGTTGTTGCCAGCACTGAAAAAAGATTGTGATTGGCCAAAATCCTCTTCACAAATATATCATAAATTTAATACCAATAATGGTGAGTGTTGAGATACTTTTTGCAAGAAATCATGTAAGTGGTTAGGAAACATAGCACTCTGTAGAACTGTACAGCTCAGCCTATCTCACCCAGACACAGCGCTCCATTAATATTTTCACTTTCTAAAAGATGTTTAAGGCAACTACAAATTAGTGAAGGATGGAGGTGACTGTATGTATGGTCCATAGTTTATTCATACTAGAAAAACTAATAATTCAGGTCCAAAGAATGTCCTGCAAGCATTGAGTCTCAGAGGGTTTGGTACTTCTTCAGTAATCAGGTGAATGTAGCACTAATAAAAAATAACACTATCTAATATAGCGCTTACCATGTGCCTTATGCTGTTCTAATCATTTTTAACATATATGAGGTAGATACCAGTGTATTTCATAGATTCTAAGACACACATTTTTTACATTTTGTCATCTGCTAAAATTGGAGCTATATTATATACTATGACATCTTAAGTTATAATTGGCAGCAATTTTTCTTACTGGTGCATAAAATAAATAATGTTTAAAGTTAGTGACTTCTTAAATGTGATTTCTTTTTAAAAAGTATTATCCAAGTTTATAAGTAAAGAAAGTGAAGCACATAAAGATTCAGTGGCTTGTCCCTGGTCATGCAGTTAGGGATGGCAAAGCAATTAAAATCCAAGAGGTCTGCCTCCATATTCTTGCTTTTTCAGCTCTGCAATACTGGCTCTCATTAAATGAATGATGGCTCTATTGTAACACCACATGGCCATCCCATTTCATGTTGTTAAAATGGAATGTGGCAAGTTTTCTTTGTAAAATACAACCCCTTTCCCTACTGTGTATTTTTGTAATGTATTAAATGTTTTTATGTAGGCCATTGTTTTTAAACTATGTTATTGAAGTATTCTATGATATCATATTAGCCCGGCCGGGCATGGCTCAGCGGCTGAGCGTCAACCTAGGATCCAGGCGATCGGGGTTCGATTCCCAGTCAGGGCACATGCCCGGGTTGTGGGCTGCAGCCGATCAATGACTCTCATCATTGATGTTTCTATATCTCTCTCTCCATCTCCTTTCCTCTTTCTGAAATCAATAAAGATATATTAAAAAAAAAAAAAGCCACTCTTCTATGATATCATATTATAATATCACTAGTTACTTTGTTAGTATCAATTCTAATCCTCAGTTGAAACAACTAATTAAAAACATTTTTTCAGAAAGGTAAAGTTGTTGCCTGGCTGGGCGTGGCTCAGCGGTTGAGCGTCAACCTAGGATCCAGGTGATCAGGGCTTGATTCCCAGTCAGGGCACATGCCCGGGTTGCGTGCTCGATCCCCAGTTGAGGGCATGCAGGAGGCGGCCGATCAGTGACTCTCTCATCATTGATGTTTCTATCTCTCTCTCTCCCTCTCCTTTCCTCTCTCTGAAATCAATAAAGATATTTTTTTTTTTTAAAAAAAAGGTAAAATTGTCTTTATATGATCAACACTTTTCTTCCACCTTTTACCTCATCTTTTCCCACAGGTTTGCTCTGATGACTATATAATAAAGAGATTTCCCTCTGCCAAATTGTTACTTTGCTGTGCAGGGGAAATGTCCTATAACTTGGAGACCCTCACCATAATACCCAGTGCTTGGTGTTCATTCCCTGTCAGAGGTAGGGGTCTCTTGTGATGAATAACTTTTGGGAACTAAACCTTTTTGAAGAGGGTTTGTTCTAGTTATTCCAGTATGAGGGGCCCCATAGTATCTAGTGTAGAAGTTGCGTGTGTGTGCTCTGGAGTTAAATTTCTTAGAATCAAATCCTAGTTCTATTTAACTGTGACTCAGAGCAAGTTACATAATTTCTCTGTGCCTTGTTTCCCTTATCTGTACTAGGGTGACAATACCAGTACTAATTTTGTAGGTTTGGGGTAAGGATTAAATGAGATAATATATGTAAAGCACTTGAAACATTTAAAGCGCCTGCTGCATTATGAGCACTCAATAAAATGTTAGCAGCAGTGGAGGTGGTGGGCGGTATTCAGCAGATGTTGTCTAAGAGGCACAAAATAAACTAATCTGAAAATAAGCCAGGACAAAGATTGATACTCCGTCTCAAACGTCATGGTAAGATTCCTACGAAATCAGGTGCACCTTGCTGATCTGTCATTCTAATAATCCCCTTAATTTTCTCATTTTTCTCTTAGTCTAAAGTATTTATGTTTCTATTGTTTCAACATCACTGTATTTCAAAGAGGCATCTGTAAGATAGGAAGCTAGTAAACCTCAGTGTCACAAATTTGTTTGTTGATTTTACAAGAAAACATCTTTCTCCAATGGGTTAATAATAATCAGTAAGAGCAGCTAACATTTATTGAGTATTGACTTTGTGCCAGGCACTATTCTGAGCACTTTATGTTTAATTCTAACAGCAACTGTATATGGAAGGTGTATCATTGTAGTCCCACTTTACAAATGAGAAAACTGAGGCAAAAAAAGGACTTTACTCAGAGTCACAGGACTGTGAAGATGACACTTCACAGCTTGAAACTTATCTCTAGATGCAAAATCTGTACTCAAGAGCTGACTTCCAGGTATTTCCAGCATGTGTGGGGCTTTAAAAACATTTTGTTGGATTTTGATATGATGTGATAAGAATGGCACCCTCCCCACCGGTATCCTCCGCCAGAATCCCATGACCCCAACTTAATCATGAGAAAAACATCAGACAAATCCTAACTGAGATATTTTTCTAAAGATCGCTCATCAGCACTCCTCAAAACTGGCAAGGTCATCACAAACAAGGAAAGTCTGAGAACTGCCATAGCCAAGTGGAATTTGAGGAGATCAGATGACTAAATGTCACGTATCCTAGGTGGAGCTCCGGAAAGCATTTAGGGGGAAGTTGCATTTGATACTCTCATTTCATACCTCATTTGCCATATTTTATACTGTCTTCCTTGGGGTATTTTTTCTTTTTCAGTTAAATGAATGTGTAACTCAAATGATTGTTGGTAGAATAAGGAAGAAGTGCTGCTCATTTCCTACCATGGAATAGATGAGCTGATTGTTGTTATGTAGAAACAAGTAAGTGCCAAAAGCAGGTGGTATTTTAGTTATTTTAACATGTACAGGTAATATTTTTTCCTCATTTTCTCTTATCCAGGGAGCAGATTTTAAGAGTAAAAGAAGATGAGAATGTTCCATTTCTGCTGGTTGGTAACAAATCAGATTTAGAAGATAAAAGGCAGGTTTCTGTGGAAGAGGCAAAAACCAGAGCCGATCAGTGGAATGTTAACTATGTGGAAACATCTGCTAAAACACGTGCTAATGTTGACAAGGTAAAGGTGGCTCTCCTTACTATGTTAAAAATCGGTTGATTTGCTTTAACTCTGCCCCATTTTGTCCAGAGATTCTGAGACTTTCTAATGATTTAATATGTGTTGATTTTTGTCAGCCTTGAATGCTCAAGTGCAACCTGTTAGGAATTTCTTACTTCAGCTTTTCCCTTGGTTTCCAAAAGACAGTACAACATGAGACACCACAGCAAAATGTACTTTTTTTTTTAGCACAGATAGGAATCCTGACCTGAATTCTTACTTCTTTTTTTTTTAATCTTGATTGGATGGATGATTTAGAAGGAATTGTGGAAGTCCTCAGAGCTGACACTTCTCTGGCCCCATTTAAGTTCTCAAAAATGAAGGAACCCTAGATTAGAAGATTTTTAAATCTCTGTACAACTCCACTCCCCACCCTCAACCTCTGTTTTTTCCTGACTGGAAAGGGAAACCATCTACCCTTTTTCCTTATATTCCCACTTTGTTCAGATTGGTTTTTCCTAGAGACTAGGTAAGGAACAGCCTTACCTCATGTCTAGGAGCCTTCCCAGGTGCATATCATCCTGCTGCTAGAGATTGTCTTCAGTGTTTAGGAAAACTGCCTGTTGGGCTAAGGCAACACAGATGCTTAAGAGCCCTCAAGGGGGGGTCTTTTTCAGCCCCCAAACAAGTGCATACAAAGCTTGATAAACACAGATTCCTGGGTCTTACCCCAGAAATTTTGATTCATCTGGTCTGGGGTGGGACCTAAGAATTTGCGTACTGGTTATCTCCCAAGGTGGTACAGACTGTGGACTGATTAAGCATGTTAACAGCATTGCTCTAGGTGGCCTCAAGTTTTAGTGAACTCTGCTTGTGCTTGTAGATTTTCACCCTGATCCAGAAATCATGAGGTTAAAAATATTAGAGATTCTTTTTGTTCATTTACTGTAAGTTTTAAGACTGGGTGTCAGGTTCATCTGATGACCTTGTTAGTACCCTTCTAGCTAAATGCTCTGGCTTTTTAATATTATTTTTGTTTTTTCATTGCACATGAATTTTTTTTGTAAAAAAAATTTTTTCATAATATTGAGGGAGAAGTATAAGGAGGAAAAGTGAGTTATTCTTCACCCAAATTCCAATCCCCTCCCTTCCCCTCCCTGTGGGTAACATGGATTACCTACACTGCTAACATGTATGTATCTTTCTAGACATTTGCCTGCATTTATAGGTGGGCATACAGAGTTTAAGGGAGAGTTTGTGTGTTTGTTTTTCTCCTGTATAAATAGGATTTTTACAGAATGTAGAATGTGAATGTTTATATATTATATGTATAGCATTTCTGTGTATGTAGATAAATAGACAATTTCTGTGGTTTGGTTTTTTAAATTGTACAACAAATAGGTCTTATAATTCTTTCCATATCATTGCATGGAAAGATGCACCACTTTGTTTTTAAATTTGCAAAGTGTTCCATAATTAAGCTTTTTCATAATTCAGATGTAATCCCTTGTGTTTTATCTTTGGAGCTATCATCACTTGCAGTGCTTTTGAAATTTTTATATTAAAAATTGGAATAGAAGGATAAGGTTATATTATGTGAACATTTTACCAAAGAGTGTAATTCAGAAAATTTCTCAATTTTCCCAATATACTTAGACAAGTAGACTTTAGTTTTCCTCTCCGTATACTCCCGAAACAACAGCTTTTAAATATTTATTCTTATATTATGTCCAGAGGTTACTGCTGTGATGCCAGGAAGTACCAAGCTTATATTACCTATTTGTTTTATTTACCCTTTTTCCTTCTTTCTAGGTATTTTTTGATTTAATGAGGGAAATTCGAGCCAGAAAGATGGAAGATAGCAAAGAAAAGAATGGAAAAAAGAAAAGGAAAAGTTTAGCCAAGAGAATCAGAGAAAGATGCTGCATTTTATAATCAAAGCCCAAACTCCTTTCTTATCTTGACCATACTAATAAATATAATTTATAAGCATTGCCATCGAAGGCTTAATTGACTGAAATTACTTTAACATTTGGGAAATTGTTATGTATCACTAAAAGCATGAATTGGAACTGCACTGAAAGCATATTCACTTTAAAAAGAAATTAATGTGGCTTCACCAAGAAGCAAAGTTCAACGTATTTCATAATTGCCTACATTATCACAGTCCTGAATGTAATGTATGAGCTTGTGTTTTGAGGTCAGTCTTTATTAAACTGTTAAAGGGGTGCTCTGGGGGTGGAGAATGGGAGGAAAAGCTATTTTATATCATTTTAAAATGTTGTGGTCTTCTACTGCCTTGAAAATGACAATTGTGAACATGATAGTTAAACTGTACCACTTTTTTAACCATTATTATGCAAAAATAGAAGAAAAGTAATTGGCATGATTGTTGGATATAGTTATGAGAGTAATTTATCTGTGAACCTGCATTAACTTAGAAAAGTGGTGTAAACTTGCACATGGATATTTTCGAATATGCCTTAATTTAGAAACTAAAAAATACCCAGTTACATCATTCTGGGTGGTTCTCATTGGCACCATGGGCCCATTACCCCATGTGTCCTGGTGAGAGACTACATACCTAGTAAGGAGTACAACTTTTGTATAGAAGATTCTTGAGAAATGACTGTCTGCTAGGGATTCTGTCCAAATTTAAAATGTGTGCCATACTCTGGTTCCTCAAAGTAAAGTTCCAGAGCTCCTGATTGCTTCTAATTAAATATACAGTTGTTTAAAATGAAGGGCCAGCATATACTTGTAAGATAATTTTAGACTATGAGGATTCAACACCGTTATATTTAGTGAACCCTCTTTTTGTTTAAGATGCTAGTTCCTGTAAATCCCTTTCTGCAAGTGGTAAGCATGTGTTAAGTTTTTTATCTCTTTGGAGCAATCACATCAATAGTGCTAATGCATTTTGCACTAGAACGCTTTGGGAAAATATTCATGCTTGCCACCTGTTCTTTTTTTTTTTTTTTTTTTTTTAATCCTCACCCCAGGTATGTTTTTATTGATTTTTAGAGAGAGAGAGGAGGGGGAAGAGAGAGAGAGAGAAAACCATTGCTGTGAGAGGAAAAACGTCGATCAGCTGCCTCCCATACATGCCCTGACAAGGGATTGAACTGCAGCCTGGGTATGTGCCCTGATCAGGATTCGAACCCACAACCTTTTGGTGAATGGGATGATGCTCTAACCAACTGAGCCACCCAGCCAGGGCATCACCTGTTGATTTTTAAATTTGTACTCATACGATTACAGTTTGGCTCTATGGGAGTTATTAGGTGTGTTTGTAGCCTGTTTGTGTTCATAATGAAGAACACTGTAGCTATATTTTCCTTAAAGTTAACATCAAGCAATCAAATCTGAGTATAGTGCANCCTTTTTTTTTTTTTTTTTTTTTTTTTTTTTAATCCTCACCCCAGGTATGTTTTTATTGATTTTTAGAGAGAGAGAGGAGGGGGAAGAGAGAGAGAGAGAAAACCATTGCTGTGAGAGGAAAAACGTCGATCAGCTGCCTCCCATACATGCCCTGACAAGGGATTGAACTGCAGCCTGGGTATGTGCCCTGATCAGGATTCGAACCCACAACCTTTTGGTGAATGGGATGATGCTCTAACCAACTGAGCCACCCAGCCAGGGCATCACCTGTTGATTTTTAAATTTGTACTCATACGATTACAGTTTGGCTCTATGGGAGTTATTAGGTGTGTTTGTAGCCTGTTTGTGTTCATAATGAAGAACACTGTAGCTATATTTTCCTTAAAGTTAACATCAAGCAATCAAATCTGAGTATAGTGCAGAAAACAAGTTTACACAGGCCAAACTTTAGGCCTGTGTCTCCATTGTGTGGTGTGCCCACAGGGAGAATTAAGCACGCTATTTGGAAGCATAATTTCAATGGAAAATCTGCCACTGTCAGATTTTTCTTTTCTTCTTTGGAACAGAGCTAAGACAGTTGATTCACAGAGTGTTTCTTTCTTTTTGTTCAGTCCTGATTTCAATAAGTCATTGTGTTCAGGCATTCCAGGTAACAGATGTGTAAGTAAAGTTAACAAAAATAGACTTTTTAGAATTCAGCTCTTTAGATATTGCGACTGGCTTGTTATGTTAAATATTTGTCCTTAAAGGGTTTGAGATGTACATCTTTTATTTCGTATTTTTCATAGGCTATGCCATGTGTAGAATTAAAGTACCAATGTAACACTGGCCCCATGGGCCCAGCACTCTCCATGTGTACTCTTCGTGGTCTTATTTAACCAGGGGTCTTAACCACTAACATTGTGACTTTGCTGTGAGACCTTTCCTCTCCTGGGTACTGAGGTGCTATGAAGCCAACTGACAAAGACACATCACATGTCTTAGGCTGATGCCACTACCCAATTGCTTTATTTGCAATTTGAGCCATTTAAAGACCAATAAAATTCCTTTTTTAAAAATGTTTGTGGTGTTACTTGATGTTTACAATATGACATGTAAAATTCAGATTTATCAACCCTAGGTATCTTCACCAGAGATTTTAAAAACAATGAAATCTTTTAAGCTGTTTAGGGACTACTTTTGTGTAACACCTGATTTCCTAAATAGCAGTATTATCATTGCTCAGGTTTAGTCTAGGCTCAGAAATGGAAGAATCCCACATGCACAGTTACATAGAAATGCTGTCATGAAAGTCACAAAAGTGTGCATTACTTTTAGAATACACTAAACTAGAATGAATAGAGTGACAGCTTCATATTCATTTTCTAATCAGAATGATCCCCAGAGACTATTTTCCAAAATGTTGCAGGAGTAACCACCCTGTTACCATTTCACCAAGATTTAGACTATTCTCTTTCACATTCAGGATCTGGTAAAGAAATTGTGGCCTATTGACTGTTAAATAGCCTGTGGATTAGAAACCATTGGTCCAATATTGAGCACAGCCTTTCAAAATTCAGTTCATTTTAATTTATTACTTAACTCAAAAGCAGTGCCAAAATGAGTACATGCAAGTTATAATTGGCATAATTTTAACCTCACTGTATGAACTCATTTTTATCACCAATAAGGGGTCTGCTGTTAAATGTATACTGAAGGTTAGATTAAGCTCTTAAACAGAATCAATGCATGTCTCAAAAGTTTTGTAACAAGGATATAAAACTTAAAGTTTGACTACCTTATATTACTACCTTAATAGTAAAACTTTCAAAACATTTTCCAAAAGTTTCTGTAAAGTTTTCAAAGTAATAATACTTTTTTATTTAATTCATTATTAGAAATCTCCTTTTAGCAAATTACTATGGAAGTCAGGAGTGATAGGTCAATAGATGTCTTCATTCAGGCCTTTGGTTTTCAGTACATTTTTATGGATTGCCTGCTGTGGGCACTACTGGGAACCCAACAGTCAAGTGAAGGACATGAGTTATAGGCCACATGCATTAGGAGAGAAAATGAAGATAAGAGATTAAGTCTAGGTCTCCTTACTCTGAGCTAGGCTCCCTATTATGATTTTCAACCCTAATAATAATGACAGTAAGCACATAGTGCTTCCAATATCAAGATACCTTATATATATTTAATATTAATCCTATGAAGTGGGTGCTATCATTAACCCCTATTTTGAGGATGGAGAGAGCAGTTGAATCTTTCCCAGGGCTACAAAGCTAGTGATTGTTAACTGGAACTGGAAGGAAAGTAGTCTGGGTAGTCTGGCTCCCCAGTCCATGCTTTTTATCACTGCACAGTGAAGGAGAAGCAGAGTGGAGACTAGAATTCATTATTCAGTAGCCTGTATTAAATGCCAAGATTTCCCCAAGATTGCGACCACTTGCTCAATGATTGTCTTCAGAAAGCTTGCAGAGGTTGCTATGAATGCAAAAGAGGCCTCTTGTGCTTATGGCCTGGTTGTTAATAGATCAAGTGCTGGAGGGAGAGCCTGGTGCAGAGCTCCAATGTGGAGTTGGCCTTTCAGTGCTTTTTTCCATCACATCAGTAAAGAGCAGCATTCTTTTGGCAGGTCAGAAGCTTTCGGCCCTTTTTTTTTTTTTTTTAAATATATCTTTATTGATTTCAGAGAGAGGAAGGGAGAGGGAGAGAGAGAGAGACAGAAACCAATGATGAGAGAGTCATTGATTGGCTGCAGCCCGCAACCCGGGCATGTGCCCTGACCGGGAATCGAACCCCGATCACCTGGATCCTAGGTCGACGCTCGACCGCTGAGCCACGCCAACTGGGCTCGTCCTTGACTTTTTTAACTGCAAAATAATTTCCTGTTCCTATTCTTCCAGCACCCCTGCATGCAGCTGTTGTGGACTCAGATGCATGGCAAGTAGGTGGGGAGGAAGGTTTGGTCATCTGTATTCTCAGTCTTCACAGAAACTCCCATTTCTGGGGATAGAGAGGGGACAGGGCATTAAACATCTGTTTAAAAGAGGCTGTGAGACCTGTGATAACTTTCATGGTTAATCTAATAGAAGGACAAGGGTGCTTTTATCAAAAGCCCCAAGGAAAACAAACAGTTGAAGTGTTTTGGCGCTTGCAAGCACCTAGCAATTAGAAAATGCTCCTAAGGGCAGAGTGTTTGAAAGGGCCAAAGAAGTAAGAGTCATCAAGGCTTGTATAATTGGAAGGTAAAGGAGCAGGTAGGAGAGAGAACTTCCGGCCTCTGCTGAAAGGGAGCACCTACGTGGAAGTGAAGGAATTTCAGGCTGCAGCCCTGACAGTTACATCACATGTCAACTCTTTGTGGACTAATCTTTATAACCGGTGCCAGAGCTCTCCCACATAACACTCATAATAGCAATTACATTTACTGACATAAGTAATTAATATTTGTGGGTGCCCCTGGACTGTAACTTCAATGTGTTAGCCACAGTGTCTGCTTTTACACATCATGTTCCTTAGTAATACCGGGCCTGGTACACATATTAATGCTCAGGAAGTATTTGTTGGAGTGAATAGGGTTGGTTCAGAGACTTTTTAAAAAAAAAAAGTCACAAGAAGCCTTCAGACCAGAAAGAAAAGAGACAGTTTTTTTGAATAGTGTAAAAACAACATAGGAAGTGTTATCAAGATGTGAAAAAGCCCTGTCAGATTAAAAAGTGGGGGATCACTGAGTCACTAACATCCATGGAGCAGTGTTATCTGTATTATAAACTTTTTACTATGAAAAAGTTTAGTTATTCATAAGAGTAAAGAGAATAGTATAATAGACCCCCTGTAATGCAAACGATCAAGGCCGGGGAGGTTCGCACTAGATCCAGACAGTCCAAAGAACCAATGGAGTCAAACTAGGATGGAATATTTATTCAGCCAATGACGGGGCTGAACGTACATGAGAAACCATCTTCCTAGTGGTGGCCAGCTGTGCATACATGGGGGACAAACCGCACCCCTGAAAGTCCTGGGCCAGTCTTATAGGGACCAGAACAATAGTGGCTCTCAGCCAAGGATAGGTCAGACATTAGCTAACATAATGTCTCTTATGACTATGCTATGTCATGTTTACGTAAAGGCCTTCTGCTGGGAGGTGTCGAGAAAAACTGTTTTCACTTTCCCCACACACACACACACACACATGTGTGGCCTTTCATCCAGTTTCAATAAATACCAGCATTTTCTCAAATGTTTTCATCTTTTTCCCCAACTATACTTTTTTTCTAGAATATTTTAAAGTAACCCCAAGATAAATTGACGAACAAGATAGGAACACACATGGAAGAATGAAACAAACTGACAGATCTCAGAGGGAAGGAGGGCAGGAAGAGATTGACCAAAGAACTTACAACCATATGTGCATAGCCCATGGACACCCAAAAATAGACAGGGGAAGAACTGGGGAGAGGGAGGAGATGGGAAGAGAGGGGTAAAGAGGAGAAAATGGGGACATCTGTAAGACTTTCAACACTAAAATAAATTTTAAAAAAGTAACCCCAAGAAATTAAGTTACTTTACCCATAAATACTTCTGGGTTTTTTTGTTTCTTTCTGAATA